GAGGCCGGGGGTTAGGGTGAGCGGAGGCCGGGGATTAGGGTGAGCGGAGGCCAGGGGCTCGAGTGAGTGGAGGCCGGGGGTTAGGGTGAGCGGAGGCCGGGGGCTAGGGTGAGCGGAGGCCGGGGGCTAGAGTGAGCGGAGGCCGGCGGCTAGGGTGATTTAAATTAATTTACATTTATAAAGCTGATAGTTCCGGTGCTTGATTCTGATTGGCTGAGCCGTGTTCGAAGCTGCTGTAAATGACGCTACAAAGTAACATACACCTTTGTTTACGTTTGTGTGTTGCTCGGCAACCGCTTTGTTGCAACCACAACTGTTTCTGAGGAGCTACATTGTTTGGTGGAAGAATACTGTTTTTATTAATATCATTACACTTTATTTGCTCTGTTTTATTCTGTGAAACCTTACTATGTATATGGAATAACCGTTTTATAAAAGCAATAAGCCCCGTGAAGCCGTGGTTTACAGTGAATTTATAACAGCTAAGGGGCGTTGTTAGGCACGACTAATTGGCAGTGGTTCAGAGCTGCAGAGGAACAATGAGCCGCACACAAAGAGTGCTGATGCGGCGGATGGGATCAGTACCTGTGGAGCTCAGCGCGATGTAGGAGAGCGTGTGTCTCCGGACCGATGCCGTGTCCTCGGCGCTCAGCGGCAGCGTCTGCAGCAGCGGCTCCAAGAAATCAGACGGCAGAACCGCAGCCAGATCCCAGTCCAGACGCGACACCAGCAGCACCTCCCACTGCTGCACACATCACACAGCAGTACTAGCAATGCAATCATCAACGGGAATCAACTATACAATGCATTTATAATCATCACAATCAGCAGAATTTACAAAAAAAGAAAATAAAAGGTAATAATTAAATAATAAAGCCAGTATTAAATACATAAATGTGACCCAGGACCACAAAACCAGTCATAAAGGTCAATTTTTGTATTTTAGGCTTTATGAATTAACAAAAATTATTTTTTATATTTTAGTTTCAATTAATAACAACAATGCTTCAAATGCACAATATTTTTTAGATTTATATTTAGCATTATTTTATGTGAGCGTTTTTAAAGTTTTGTTTTTTTATATTTCTACATAGCTTTATTTTTATATAATACGTCAACTTTTTTTATTTCAATTTTAATTTACAAGTATTTCATCTAATATATAATATTTATATTTCCTTCAAATGTAGGTCATCCAGTCCGAATATAAACGTAGAAAATATCATGCTAGAATTTTACAACTGTTTAAAAAAAAAAGTTCAAAAGTTGCGCAGCCGCTTCCCCAAACCTAAAAGTGGCGTATAGCTGGATGCTAACGGTTTACGTAAAAGCAGGTCATGTGACGTTACCAGGATCTCTGGGACGGTGACGGCGTGGTCGGTGTAGATGCACAGCTTGGCGGCGCTCAGAGGAACCGATTCCCTGAGTTTGGAGGCCAGGAACATGCAGACGCATCCCAGCAGCTGCAGACGGCACCTGAGCACGGCATTCTGGGACATGTGCCTGTCCAGGTAATGAACGGCCAGAGGAAACACCTCCTCCTCACACTTCTGATCCTCACACACCTGCTCGAGAACAAGCTCCGTGATTCAGGATTCAGATCAGAGTGACTCGAATCACTGAATCAGATCAGAGTGACTCAAATCCCTGAATCAGATCAGAGTGACTCGAATCCTCGAATCACTGATTCAGAATACGATTCATAAGACATCATCAGATCAGTGTGATTCAATTTACTGATTCAGAATGACTCGTTAGACATCAGATCAGTGCGATTCGAATCACTAATTCAGAATGTTTCATTAGACATTATCAGATCAGAGTGACTCGAAACACTGAGTCAGAGTACGATTCATTAGACAGCATCAGTTCAGTGTGATTCTGAGTTAGAATAAGACTCATTAGACGCTAGACGGCATCGGCTCAGTGTGATTCGAATCACTGATTCAGAATACGATTCATAAAACATCATCAGATTAGTGTAATTTGAATCACTAATTTCAATCCCTGAACCAGAAAAGAGTGACTCGAATCACTGAATCAGATCAGAGTGACTCGAATCACTGAATCAGATCAGAGTGTCTCGAATCACTGAATCAGATCAGAGTGACTCGAATCACTCAATCAGATCAGAGTGACTCGAATCACTGAATCAGAACAGAGTGACTTCGAATCACTGAATCCGATCAGTGACTCGAATCACTGAATCAGATCAGAGTGATTCAAATCACTGAATCAGAGTACGATTCATTAGACAGTCTCAGATCAGTGCGATTCGAATCACTAATTCAGAATGTTTCATTAGACATTATCAGATCAGAGTGACTCGAATCACTGAATCAGATCAGAGTGATTCAAATCACTGAATCAGAGTACGATTCATTAGACAGTCTCAGATCAGTGCGATTCGAATCACTAATTCAGAATGTTTCATTAGACATTATCAGATCAGAGTGACTCGAATCACTGAGTCAGAGTACGATTCATTAGACAACATCAGTTCAGTGTGATTTGAATCACTGATTCAGAATACGATTCATAAGACATCAGATTAGTGTAATTCAATTCACTGATTCAGAATGACTCATCATTAGACATCAGATCAGTGTAATTTGAATCACTAATTCAGAATGATTCATCAGATCAGAGTGACTCGAATCACTGAGTCAGAGTATGATTCATTAGACAGCATCGGCTCAGAGTGACTCGAATCACTGATTCAGAATACGATTCATAAGACATCATCAGATCAGTGTGATTCAATTTACTGATTCAGAATGACTCGTTAGACATCAGATCAGTGCGATTCGAATCACTAATTCAGAATGATTCATCAGATCAGAGTGACTCGAATCACTGAATCAGATCAGAGTGACTCGAATCACTGAATCAGAGTACGATTCATTAGACAACATCAGTTCAGTGTGATTTGAATCACTGATTCAGAATACGATTCATAAGACATCAGATTAGTGTAATTCAATTCACTGATTCAGAATGACTCATCAAACATCATCAGATCAGTGTAATTTGAATCACTAATTCAGAATGATTCATCAGATCAGAGTGACTCGAATCACTGAGTCAGAGTATGATTCATAAGACATCATCAGATCAGTGTGATTCAATTTACTGATTCAGAATGACTCGTTAGACATCAGATCAGTGCGATTCGAATCACTAATTCAGAATGATTCATCAGATCAGAGTGACTCGAAACACTGAGTCAGAGTACGATTCATTAGACAGCATCAGATTAGTGTAATTTGAACCACTGATTCAGAATGATTCATCAGATCAGAGTGACTCGAATCACTGAGTCAGATCAGAGTGAGACATTATCAGATCAGAGTGACTCGAAACACTGAGTCAGAGTACGATTCATTAGACAGCATCAGTTCAGTGTGATTCTGAGTTAGAATAAGACTCATTAGACGCTAGACGGCATCGGCTCAGTGTGATTCGAATCACTGATTCAGAATACGATTCATAAAACATCATCAGATTAGTGTAATTTGAATCACTAATTCAGAATGATTCATCAGATCAGAGTGACTCGAATCACTGATTCAGAGTACGATTCATTAGACAGCATCAGATCAGTGTAATTTGAACCACTGATTCAGAATGATTCATTAGACAGTCTCAGATCAGTGCGATTCGAATCACTGAGTCAGAACACGATTCGAATCACTGATTCAGAATGATTCATCAGATCAGAGTGACTCGAATCACTGATTCAGAGTACGATTCATTAGACAGCATCAGATCAGTGCGATTCGAATCACTGAGTCAGAACACGATTCGAATCACTGAGTCAGGTTGATATGATTCATTAGATCTCCCCTCACCTGCAGCATCCATCCCGTTAGGATTGGGCGCACGTAGCGCTGCTCGTCGGTCGACTCGGTTCCGGGTTTGATGCTCGGTCTCTCCGAGCTCAGCAGGTTCTGACAGACGCGCGAGTCTCGGGTCAGGACCGCGTCTCTGAACGCCCGAACCGGTCTGCAGCTCGAGTCGGTCTCGACAAGCTCGTGACAGAACAACTCCATTACAGCGGTCAAACTTACCGGCAGTCACGAGCGAGACGCGGGCTTTGGGTTCACACAACTCCTAACAGCTCTACAAACATCTATACCATACATCTAGTCAAATTCATATATGAAAACACATGGTTTTAATCAGTCAGAAGACGGTTCGTCGGCGAGCCGCGGCGCTCACGGGAACCGCAACGATTGTTGTGACGTCACGTCGCCGGTGACGCGGCTTGTCGCGTTCATCAAAACTACAGTAATTTATTTTATTTATGCAAGTTCTCAGTCTAGTGATTTCAGCACGGAACAAATACTGCATTCATAATTACGTTCTACATTTTGGAAACCGGTTTCCGTGAGACTTTTCTTGCGCGTTTATATCGGACTTTACAATCAAAATCGCAAGATATAAACTCAGAATATAGAGAAATGTGAATTTGCAATGCTGAGGAAAAAAGTCAGAATTGTTAGCTTTAAACCAACAACTGCAAGAAAAAAAGTCTGACTTGTGAGAGGAATTTTTAACCTTACAATTATCTTTTTTATTTTTATTCCGTGTTGGAATAAAAAAAAAAACAATTGTGTAATGTAAACTGTGCAGTACAAGAAAATAATTCAGAATTGAGATGCGTAGACACGGAATTGTGAAAAAAGTAAAAAAAAAATTATCTCGCGATTCCGAGTATATCTCGCAATTATGACTTTTTTTTTCGCAGAATTGCGAGAAAATCCGAATTTTTACTGCAATTACCTTTTTGATGTGGGCAAAAACAAACAAATAAATTAAAAATGGTAATGTGAGACGTAAACTCATCAGACGTAAAATACATCATTTTCGTCAACTTTTTTCGGAATTATTAAAACCAAGATTATATAAATTTTTCTCGTCATACATCATCGAAGCAACATTTCACGGCGAGGTTAAAATCCATAAGCGCTTGAATAAAACCAAAACGTTCTGAAGTTTATACAACGTAATTTTATTCCCTAGTAACACAAGTTCTAACCAAAAGTGTAGTCCAAAAATACAAACAATGCATTACTGCAAAGAATGCTAAATATATTGCAACACAATCGCGCGTTACGACGGAAGTCCGCGGCGGCTCAGTCGACGGTCATGACGGGCGTAGCGTCCTCCAGGTCGCGTGACTCAGCGCTCTGCAGCTCGCGCCGGATCTCGGGCGATATCTGCGCATGCGTCTGGCACTTCAGCAGCTCCAGCAGCGCCTCCTTCTGTTCGGAGGACAGGTCAGCTTTGTAGCGCTGCACTAGCGTCAGCAGGCTCTGGTGCCACAGCACCGGCAGCGTCCGTCTGTCCGCGCGGAACGTCAGGAAGTGTGCGAGCAGAGCGTCCAGCACGCGGAAGGGCAGCGCGTACTTCTTATCCAGCAGCAGTCGCAGGAAAATACTGTTGGCTCCGTTGTACTCCATCTCTGCGATTTTCAGCATGGCGGCGCTGCAACGTATAACGGCGGATTAGTAGCACGCAAAAACTACAATTACAAGAATAAAGTCGTATCATCGTAAAATTGAAGTCGTAATAATCTGAGAATATTCAGTCAAAAGTACTTTACTCTCAAAACATTACCCTGTAATCTCACGATGCTATGACTTTAAAATATTACAAGTTTAATCTTGTATAAGATTTAGTCGTAGCAATACCAATTTGACTTTCATCTCGTTACGACTTTTCATTTACTACGACTTTGTTGTTGTAATTTTGACTTTATTCTTAAAATATTACGTTTCATCTCATATAAGACTTTATTCTCGTATTGCTATGAATTTATTCTTGTAATTTTGACTATCAAAATATTACGACTTTTAATCTCACAATGCTACGACTTTATTCTCAAAATATTACAAGCTTAATCTCGTATAAGACTTTATTCTTATATTGCTCCGACTTTTTCTCAGAATTTTAACTTTATTCTCAATTTTACAAGTTTAATCCAATAATTTTGACTTTATCACCAAAAATTACGACTTTTAATCTCACAACGCTGCGACTTTATTCTCAAAATATTACAAGCTTAATCTTTTATAGACTTTCTTATCATTTTGACGCATTCTCAAAATAAGAAATTTAATCTCATCTAAAACTTTATTTTCTTCTTGCTACAACTGTTATTATGACTTTATAATCAAAATATGACTTTAATTACACACTGCTATGACTTTATTCACAATATTGACTATATTTTCAAAATTGTACAAATGTAATCTCATATAAAACTTTATTCTTGTATTGCTATGACTTTAATGGTAATTTCAAATTTTCTTAATTCTTAAAATATTATAACTATAATCTCACAAACTTTATTCTCGAAATTGACTTTATTCTCAAACGATGATGTTTAATCTTTAATCAAATTGCTTGAAACTGACTTTATTCTGTATATTTAGCAACGTTTTCCTCATAATCTAAGATTATCTTTCGCTGTTGTAGCAAAGAGACAGTCAACCAGATATGCAGTGTTCTTTAGTGCGCTTGAAGAAGTGTGCGCACCATTAATGTGTTTTCATGTTCACCTGGAGTGCAGCACAGGGATGGAGCATCGGGTGATGATGCTGCCGATGACGATGGCTTCTCTCAGAGTACATGTGCCGGATTCACACAGCGGCAGCAGGATTCCTGCACACACACACACACACGTCAGTGTTATACTATTATAGTAGTTATTAATGCTTTAAATTCACTTATAAAGCGGAGAGTTCCGGTGCTTGGCTCTGATTGGCTGAGCCGCGTTCGAAGCTGTTGTAAATGACTCTACAAAGTAACACACACCTTTGTTTACGTTTGTGTGTTGCTCATGGGATTACAATTCTGCCACAGTTCGCGCACGAACTGAGTTTTGTGGAGAAAATGTTTGTCTTGCAAAGAAGAAAGTATTTCGAACGCACGAAAATCAATTTTGCATTTAAAATATGTTTTTGGATGTGTGCAGACCTTCTCTTCTGCGCGTGCAAGGTTCCACTAGCGTGCTCACCTGATGCCCTCAGTGCTAAACACCAGCAGCTCGCGTGCGCAACACAACCCAGCGTTACAATGTGCCATAACTCCAGCCAATCAGAGACCAGGCTGCTAAATTCTGAATGGCTGCCTTGACAACCAATCACAACATTTCTTGCATTACCTCGACAGCAGAAGAGGACAAATACAGTGCATGCATAATGATTACGCAAGTTGATATTCTGATCATATGTTTTTCCAAGCACATTTTACCAATAATTATAACTACTATTAATCTTGTATTTAATCACTTATAATCTATATATTATTGTTCATGACGGCTGGAAGTGAAAAACGCCTTATATTCAGGTGTGCATAATTATTAAGCAGGTTATCTTCTACAGATAAAATCTCCAGATGGACTGAAAATGAACTCCCAAAACTTACTCCCAGATTCTGGAAGATACATTCTTCAAACAGTGGTACAAGAGGATGTGCTGCTGGTCCTTCAAGAGTCACTCTCAGCTTATCCGTCTATAAATATATATATATATATATATCAGTCTTCAAGTATTTTACTACACTTCAGTATGTGATTCTTATTAAGTAGGGGTAATTTTTCAGGCCTCTATACTTCTCCCAAGTCTCTGAGAACCTGACAGCTTGCACTTCTGGAGACTGCAGGTAGATTGCAGTTCTGGAAAATGGTGGCGCTGGAGACTAAAGGGTTCCTGGTGATTTCACACCTAATTCTTCACCTTAATTCCTCATTCTTTTGCAGTTAACATGCATCTTTTCTTCTCCACTGAGCATTGTGCTGTCCAATGGTTATGCATTAACGTTGCAATTTCTAGTATTGTATTAGTTTTGAATATTTCTCATGGGCATTTAATAATTTTTACTTTCAGTCTGAGTTAAATCTCTTTTTTGGCTCATTTTATCTGTAACAGAAAATCTGCTTAATAATTATGCACACCTGAATATAAGACATTTTTCACATGCAAAAGAGCCATTATTTTAATTAAATATGCACTAATTTGTACAGACATTGGATAAAGCCAGGTGCATAATTCTTGTTGGATTTAGTCGTCATATTAGAGTCAAAGGTTTTTCCAGAGGGGATTTTGGATTTCTCTTTTCATCACTGCATAAATCAGAAAATACTGTCAACAGACAGAAAACAAACAAACAAACAAACACATTTTCACCGTGTTTTTAGGAGTAAAATGTTCTATGAATGCAACCCTGGAGCACAAAACCAGTCATAAGGGTACATTTTGTGGAATTGAGATGTATGCATCATCTGAAAGCTGAATAAATAAGCTTTCCATTGATGTATGGTTTGTTAGGATAGCACAATATTTGTAAATCTGGAATCTGAGGGTGCAAAAAAATCTAAATATTGAGAAAATCATCTTTAAAGTTGTTCAAATGAAGTTCTTAGCAATGCATATTACTAATCAAACATTAAGTTTTGATATATTTACGGTAGGAGATTTACTAAATATCTTCATGGAACATGATCTTTACTTAATATCCTAATGATTTTTGGCATAAAAGAGAAATGTATAATTGTGACCCATACAATGTATTGTTGGCTATTGCTACAAATATCCCCCAGCGACTCAACACTGCTTTTGTGCTGCAGAGTCACACATCAGTGTGAATGATATAAGAATAAACCTTCAGAATACAGAGAGGAATAAAACTGTAAAGTTTGCTGAAGCGGAGGAAGAATCGCTTTAGTTAAAAATAACAACACGATTACGGTCATCTCTGAACGTTTAGCTTCGCTCGGTTTCTTCTCTGGCATTTGTTAAGATACTACAGTAATGATTTGTTTATCAGTCACACGAGCATCATTTAACCAGAATAAACCACCGGATCTCAAACCAGGCACTTGTGAAGCTCACCGGCGTCCTCTAGTGTTCGGTTACAGGAACTGCACACTGACTCTGTTTACATGCACTTCATGCACCTCATGTGAGACACCTGTGCATTGCTTCACAGTGCTGTTACTGCTGTTATACAGTGCGTACTAGATGCACGAAACTCACTGCACTTTTATGATATGACATTAGTGTGAAAGCTGCCACTGTCTGTGATCTCATCAGTAATAATCAAACAGCGATAATGCTGGGGAAAAAAGAAAAAACCATAACTATGATTGTCTGTAAACACGCGGATCAAATCGTGACACCAGTGAAGATTCACAGCCCTAGTGTTTGCACACTGTTTAATGCAGCTCGGAGGTGGCATGAATGCATTTACACAGCGGGTGTAAAGTAAAGCTTTTATTTTGAAGGAAAACTCCAGCTTCAGTGAAAACAGGCTTATAAAAACAAAAACACGTCTCACTACAAATCTAGTGAAACGCTGTAATCATCTGCCGTGAAGATAAAGCATAACTGGTGGCTGTCGCGTTCCCAAACGCGCGCTAAACTCACAGCACGTGAAATAAATAAAATAAACGAGTTGACTGCATTCTTTCAGTGTGAACGGAGCCGTTCTGCGGCGCGGAAAACACTGGATCACGAGCTGATTGCCGAAGTGTGCGCTTCGCTTTGAAACACGCAGCAGAAACAGACCTATCGTTTTATATCGTCATGTGACCACGATAATATCGAGACAGTTTTGCTATCGCGATAATATCGCTACATCCCTATGACTATTGCACTTTACTCTGTGTAAAATTTGTAACTTTATACATTTGTGTGTATTGCTTTATTGCATTTAAACGTTCTGTATTTTCGTTATAAGAAAAGAGTTACTAAACCTGTTATACTGTATTATGACAACACTTGTTTGCAACTAAATTTCAATATCGCGATAATACCGTGATAAAAGCATTATTATATAAAATTTGATACCGGCAATACTTGATACTTCGCACACAGCTGTCATTATCGCGAACGATTTCTTGGATTTCATAATCGCGCGATTTATATCGTCTGCGATTTTTTTTTTGCGTAGCTTGTCAGTGAACTACGGCTCTGTGTAGTAAATGCTGCTCCATCTGAAAGCACGAGCTGGAGATTTACTACTAATCACAGAACCGGCTTTACTGACGAGATGCGCGTGACTATCGCATTCGATTAATCGCGCAGCCCAAATACTCACCTTTGAACCAGGCTCCGGGTTTGAAGAGCGCTTTCTTCAGCGCGCTGTACAGGTGGAAGTTCAGCCGCTTGAACTCGGCGATGTCGTCTCGGATCCTGGGCAGCAGCACCAGATTGTAGAAGCGCTGAGCCATTCGCTCCTTCAGATTCGACGAGAAGATCCTGCACACAAACCACGCGAGTGAAACCGAGAACTAGCGCTGCTCGATTATGGCAAAAATCACGATTATGAGTGGGCCACATGACCGAATGCGTCATTTATTTAAAGATAGTGATACATTTCAAATATATATTTTCTGTAAATAAGGTTGCTATGCGAAATTTCACAATTCTCAATACCACAGCAGAGTAATATTAGTAACAAACAAACAAAAAGTCCTCAAATTATTGAAAGTAATTAAACTGTCAGTAATAAAAAAAGCAAAGGACAAATGCAATAAAATAAAAGATACAAATGAAACAAACTGTGCTTTAAGTTTTTTTTTTAATGCAAGTCTCAAAGCAGTTAACAGCCTACTACAGAAATGAATAATCAAATGTAAAATAAAGCAGCATAGTCTTGACTGTAAGAATTACACTTCCTTTGTTTCTTATTAAAGCTAAAAAAGTCCTTCAGTCGAGAGCAGTGAGTGATTTAGTCTTTGTCTTTTGTTGTTTGATTAAGATTAAGCACACAGTCAGCAGCAGGAATATTAGGCTGCTGTCACTTTAAGAGCTGCACGGATATAATTTACTGTTACACTAGTATCTTCATTCTCAACTCCTTACGTTCATTTCTTACATAACCGACGAGGGTTTACGTGAATAATCACTAAGCGCCGCATTTTGACACATTTTTGCGTGTATTTGACCGTTTAGGCGCTAAAAGATGACTTTACATGTTGGTGTTGTGACCTCTGACCTGGTGGCCTGGTACATGGCGGCGGCCGTCCACGTCTCCGGCTCGGTGAGGTACAGCACCTGCTCCCAGTTGGAGAGAGCCGGGATGATCTTGAAGGCTTTGGGAAGTTTCCCGCTGCGGTATTTGGACAGGACCTGCGGAGGGAGAGTGTTAGCGCCAGCGGTGAACGACTCACACGCTATAGCACTCATATTAGCGCTCGTACCTTGCTGACGCCTCTGTACACCTCCAGCACCCGCGGGTCCAGCTGAGGAGCGGCGCGTCCCGACGCCTCGGACATCACGGTGCCCACCTCCGTCTGCTTCTCCGTGATCTTCTCCATGATGATGTCGGCTAGCGTGCGTCTGCGGCGACACTAGCGGTTAGCTCACGCAGTGCGGCGCTCGTAAACGCTCCGTGTGCGTGTCTGCTCACCTGAGCGGCGGGTTCTTGTTCATGAACATCTCGATGGCCTTCTCGTCCTCAGGATCCACGTCCACCTCTCCACCCGTCTCCTCCGCAGCGTCTCTCTATTCTAACTCTATTCTAACTCTAGCACACTGTATTCTAACTCTATTCTAACTCTAGCACACTCTATTCTAACTCTAGCACACTCTATTCTAACTCTATTCTAACTCTAGCACACTCTATTCTAACTCTAGCACACTCTATTCTCACTCTA